ACACACACATTCCTTTGGAGAATTGCAGAACACACAGCTGCCCACGCAAAGATACAGTTGTTACACACTCTGTCCCAATCTGCTGCAGTCAGGCTGTCAATATTAGTTTGCTAGGTGATTACATCTTTCCACATTGTTTTTAGTCTTTGTTCTTAAAAGTCCTTCATCTGTTTCCCTTTAAGGGAATATCTCTTAAGAAGTATCCCAAGACACACCTCTTAAACTATAGTCATATTTGCTTGTGTTTCTGCAGTTCTCATTCTTACCATGTGAAGTTTTTAAAATCCTAATTCAGATGCTTTCATTTATTTCTCCTGAATCCAAATATGCTTCCTGTCTACATCCTAAAAGTCCTTGTGATTAACATTAAATGATGATTACCAAGGGCAGAGACTTGATTTTGTGGTTCTCTTGAAGCTATTGGATAATGTCTCCTGGATTTTGGTAATTAACTAAACTCTTTCTTTGGCATCAGCATAAGAAAATTGCAAACCGGGATATAAAAGAAGATGTGAAGAAGTTTTTCAGCACCTTGACTATAGACAGTGTATCCCGGAGTGACCAGGGGTTGTACACATGCTCAGCATCCAGTGGGCGAATGACCAAGAAGAATAGCACATATGTCAGAGTCCACGGTGAGCTATGCTTTCCTGGGGAATTATGCTATGCCTAGAAAAGTGAATAGATTTAAGTCATCTAGTGATTCCTATTTTGCTCATTCAGAAGACAGTTTTGAGCTCTTGCTATGCAAGACACACGAGTTATGGTCAAGAGTATGGTTTTGGAGTCAGACACTTGAGTACACATCCTGACTTTAAAATGAAATAAGCTAATATAACAAGTGCTCAGTACACATTACTTCCTGTAGTTATTGCTGTGATTACAAGTATTACTATAATAAGTATAGTGTTAGTATTTAAGATGATTTTTAAAATGTCATTGCATTGTAAGGCTGAAAGGCTTACTTGAATAAGCATACACTTTGCAGATTGGGGAAACCCATATTCAGTTCTTGTGTGTGTGTGTAGCTTTGGGAGATCACTTTAATGTTTCACTTATTCTCATTCGTGTAAATGTCTTACTTTAAATACTTTATATAGCTTCTTCCATACAAGCTTTGGTAGGGGCTTTGGGTTTCATATATGTGAATATATCAGAAAGAGATGGGTTCTAGCTTATGCTTTTATACGATTACTGTGTAATTTGTATGGAAAACTTTAGGGCAGTAAGGGCTGAAAAAGGGAGAACAGTTAGGAGGCTAATTTCAGTATTCCAGATGAGAGATGGTGGATGACGTGGACAAGGGTAGTTAATTTTCCCATCTCTGGGACTCAGTTTGGCTTAATTTGGCTCAAAGTGTTCATGAGATTTCAGGGTGGCTCCAAGTCAGGAATATCACAGTGGAGCAAAATTGCTCAGAACAGTGTTGGGCGTGCTCATTTGGAGACGTTCTTTATATAGACCAAATGGAGATATTTAATACATAAATCTGGAATCCAAAGACATTAGGGCAAAACATGCAAATTTAAGGTATATGTAAGTGATACTTTACATCTGAGACTGGAGTAAAGCACAGATAAAGACAAAGGGTCTGAGGACTGAGTCCTGGGACACATGAACATATGGCAGGTGCATAGAGGCTGACATGTGAACAGAAGAAGAGAAGTACCCAAGGGCCCCTGGGGTCTTAGAGGAGCTGCACAGGGTAGTAGATGCTTCAGGTACATGGATGCACAATGCAAAGACTAGAGAAAAATTGGAATGTGGCCTAAGAAAGACCATATGGCATCAGAACTGCAGTCCTCAGACCCCTAAGGTCTTTGACTTTGCACTTGAAATGAGAAAATGAAGGACCATTTACAATAAGCTGATATTTATGAGTACAATTTTTTTTTATTTTCTTCTAGCCAAACCTTTTGTTGCTTTTGGTAGTGGCATGGAATCTTTGGTGGAAGCCATGGTGGGAGACCGTGTCAGAATCCCTGTGAAGTACCTGGGTTACCCCACCCCTGAAATCAAATGGTAACTATTGGAAGCAAATGTAAAGCATTGCTTCACCTGAAAACAAATCCTTCAATTGTATTAATTCCTGGTATTGTTTTCTCTTGTAGGTATAAAAATGGAAGACTCATTGAGTCTAATTATACAGTTAAAGTGGGGCATGTTCTGACGATTATGGAAGTGAGTGAAAAAGACACAGGAAATTATACTGTCATCCTTACCAATCCCATTTCAAAGGAGAAGCAGAGTCACATGGTATCTCTGGTTGTGAATGGTGAGTCTGTTTTCAGTTTTCCCTTCTCCCCAAGATTACAAAGAGTATGATTACATCTTCCTAAATTATCTTGCCATCATTCCCCCTCTCTCATCCACATCATGACAGGGCTGACACATAAAAATGAAAATGAGGGCTGGGGATTTAGCTCAGTGGTTCTGCCACCTGCCTTGCAAGTGCAAGGTCCAGAGTTTGATCCCTGGTACCAAAAAA